CCCTCACCCCACCCCCGTGCATACATTTCTCCCCAGGTTGGTCCCCTACCCGCCCCCCCTGCCCACGTCGTGGGGAAGGTTGGGGAGCTCCAGGGCAGCCCAGGGTAAAGCTGAGGACTCACGGCCCTCCTGACCTCTCCTGTGACAGGGCCCCCGGCTGCCGCCTCCTGCGCTGTCCAGGCTGGTGCCTCCCCCGGGGTGTTATCCGCCGGATCAAGGTCAGCTGGCCTCTGCCTGGTTTCCTGCTGGAATCACTCTCCTCCCACACCACCCATGGGAGACACCACCTCTCCCGGGCCCTGTCATCCTGCAGACCTGCGTCCCCGCCCTCTGCTTCCTTCCACCTCCACACCCCAGATGGGGCAGCATCTGTGCCACCTCCACATAGGGACCCGACGGACATCCTCTCCCCCGTGGAGCCACGCTCCTCCCCGGGTGACGACAAGTGGCAGGAAGGGGCCCAGGCTTCTGGGGGAGTCAACCTCCTGATCCAGAGACGGCCCACATCCCAGGAAGCCACCCCACATGCCCCTGGGAAGGCTGCAGCAAGGTGGCCCTCCTGGCTCAACGACACAGGCGTTCAGACCTCAGGGGGAGCTCTGGAACCAGGAGGTCATTGTCTTGCACCTGTGCTTCCTCCAACACGCTGTGTGACCTCCAGCCAGTCACTTACCCTCTCTGGACCTCATCTGTAACAGGAAGCAGCTGGACAAGATGACTTCTGAGGGCCTCTGGCCTTTACCCTGGTGAGGTGAACCATGGTGAGAACAGAGGCATGGAGGGGGCCAGTGAGAGGTTGTTGGCTCTTTCATTCATGACACGCGTATTGAGCATCTACTGAGTGCTCCATGCACGGAACTGGATATTGACATGAGCAGCCGAGGCTCTGCCCCTCTGAGCTCAATCCAGGTTGGTCGAAGGGACAGCGCTGACCTTCTCCGGCAGGTACAACCTTCGCCAGTGACCTTGCTGTTGGCCCATGTCTATCACATTCTGTGTGGCTTTGATGTGAATGTCTTAAAGCAAGAGAAATAGAGGGAAAAGCTTTTTAATTTTAAACAGAACTTCGTGTCTTTGGTTATTCTATTGAATTGGGGAGGGATGTTGCCATTTCTGATCCGAATGAAGAGTAAGACAGCAAGATCTTTGTAGAGTTTATTTCCCGGGACTTTGCCAGGGGCCCAGCTGCAAGACCAGCCTCACCCTGCCCTGAAAAGCCTAGCGTTGCATTGGGCTCTGCTGTTTCCTTGCAGCGTGACCTTGAGCTGGACACATGCCGCTTCTGGGCCTCAGTTTTGCCATCTGTAAATTGGCCTGCCCACCTGGCCTGCCTCACAGAGCCATCGAGCAGGGTCTGGAAGGAAGTGAAAGTGCTTTTACGAAGTGTGAGGCAGGACCCATTGCGGAGTGATGTTGTCCCAGATCCCACCAGGAAAGTGGCTGCTTTGGGTTCCAGCCCTGGGACAAGTCACACCTGCTCACAGGGAGGCCGTGCACTGAGCCTCCCTTCCGCATGCGTATTGCTGACACGTGTCCTTCTGGGGCGGACAGGGCCTGCTCCCCTGAGCTGGGCAGGCTGGCCTGACCTCCATGGGCAACCCTAGCAATTCTAGGTCTTTCCCCAAGTCCCAGCACCTCTGCAATCTGCCTGGATCCCAGCCAGGAATTGGACTGGGAATCAGGAAGGCTGGGTCTCCGTCCTGCATGCTCTCTAATCTGCTGTATGACCTTGCCACTCAATCTCTCCAGCCTCAGCTTCTCATCTATACATTGCGGGCAGCAAGGCTAGCTCTGCTTCAGGCGTGCAATGGGCCAGCACCATAGAGTACAGCCCGCAATGCGAATGAACTTTGCAAACTTAGACTCAAAACTCACAGTGTGAGAGCCCTGAGTTTATTACTGCCGCCTCACCTCCGGCAAAATCTGCATGGAAGGGGAAGCCTAGGGATTAGGGAAGCAAACAAATTGATTAACAAACAAAGACGGGTAGCTTCTCACTTACTGACTCAGGCATCAGGCACCCACTTCATGGCCCTGAACACAAATGTGCAAATGTCATTTTTATCATTTTGCTACAACTGGATTTACTTCCTATGTTGTTGGCAGAAAATTTATTCTAGTAACTTCTGTGTTACTGATTCCTCAAACACTCAGGTGTAAACTCAGTCACATTTGACTTTAAATCTGCCCTCTGCCCTCCCTCCACCACCACCACCCCGCCACCCCAGTCTTTGCCAGGTTGAGGGTGGGGGTTGGGAAAGTGTTTGTACAAATGCCCCTGTGGTCTCTCCAGGAAGGGGATGTGCACTTCCCGGCCTCGGTCTTTGTCAGCCACTGCTGGTGTCCTCTCCGTGTGTCTCAGCTGGTTGGCCTGGGACCCCCAGCTGGTGACACCCTCCTCCTACCTCACCAGTCCCCTGTTGGGGGCTCCCTCTGCATCCCCTGCTCCAGATGTAAACGCCCTCCTGCAGCCTCTCTCTGCCTTCCAGGTTGTCTCTCATGGACAGGATGAAAGCTGACAGCTCCCCATACCCTCGGGGGCCATGGCAGCCCTAGGCCAGGCAGCAGGCTCTCTTTTGAGACCTCTCGCAGCCATTGCTGGCGTCCTGGTTAGGGCAGGTCATGGATGAGAGTGCAAATCTGCAGACTTGGCAGTGGCATGGAGAGGCGGAGGTCTACTCTGCTCAAGGTCCCGATGTTATTCTGGGTTCAGAGAGAGAGAAAGAGAGAAGGGGGGAGGAGAGAGAGAGAGAGAGAGAGAGAGAGAGAGAGAGAGAGAGAGATTTAGTGTAAGGAATTGGCTCTCATGATCTGTGGAGGCTGAGAAGCCCCACAACCTGCAGTGACCAAGCTGGAGACCAGGAGGTAGGAGCGCCCGTCTGAATCCAAAGTCAGGAGGTGATGCCCTGGTTCAGAGACAGGCAGAGCGCAAGTTCTCCCTCCCTCTGCCCTTCGTTCTATTCCAGCCTCATGGTCACCCACACTGTGAGGGCGGTTGCTTTACTCAGTCTCCCAATTCAAATGTCAGTCCAGGAACACCCCGGAGGAATATTAAACCAGTCTCCTGAGCACCGGGGCGGGGGGGGGGGGGGGGGGAGGTGGCAAATTGACGTGTAAAATTAACCATCACAGTCCCCGTCTCCCGTACCAATCAATGCCCTCCTTCCCCCAGAATCCTCTCGAGATAGGGTGTGGCCGACCGCACGACATTCTGTGACCAGAATGTTACTCTCAGTTCAGATGTAACAGTTGATTGCGGGGCCACCTCTTCCTCTCTAGGGAGGGATTTCTTTTGCCCCCCCCCCTCCGGGCCAGGAACTATTTTACCCCCTTTACCTTATATCTGCCAGCTGTGAGACCTTGGGCAAGTGACATGTCCCCTCGTGTATGTCCTCATAGCAACAGTGTCTGGTGGCTTAGGGTTTCCGTGACAATTAAATGAGTTCGTCATTTTGGGCACATGGCGAGCACTCCACAAATGTTAAGAAAAAAGTCATTTCCCCAACTCTTCCTTCTACCTCCTTCTCCTTCTGAACTGGAGCTGCCATTCTGATCCTAGACTCCATCCCAGGAATTCTTAAACCATCAGGAGGCGAGGGACTCTCCCAAGAGTACACAAAGCGGGGTGTGTGTGTGTGTGTGTGTGTGTGTGTGTATGTGTGTGTGTGTGTGTGTGTGTGTGTGTGTGTGTGTGTGTGTGTTTCCCAGGGAAAGGGTTCCACTACTTTCATCAGCTTTTCAAAGAGCTCTGGGGCTAAAAATAATCATAATAAAGGATCCCTATCAAGCACACCTGAGTCAGCTCCTGACAGGTTCATACTCTAGCTGCGTGGACCAAAGACTTGAGACCATTTTTTTTTTAAGATAAAATCATACAAAGATAAAATGAACAAGTGCCAAAGTTTTAACTCACTAATTAATGAGGGAACCACAACAGTGGCATCACAGGGAGAATTGGAAAAATGGATACACATCTAGGCAATCAGGAATGCTGCTGTGAATTACAAAGAGAGACACAAAGGGTCCTAGGCCAGAGAAACACAATTGCATCTCCGTGGGACACAATTCATTTGCATTTCTATGGACAGGAATCATTTGTCTTGTTACCAGTTCTACAGATAAAGAGTTGAAAAACAGCTCAAAGACAATGAAGGGTGCAGAAATCTGGGAAGAGTAGGCTAGACAGAACACCTCGCAATTTTTTTATTTATTCTTTATTGATTAAAGTATTGCATATGTCTCCTTTTTCCTCCGTTGACCTCTCCCCGACCACTCCCACCCCCCACCCCCAGCACATGCCCTCACCCCCCTACTGTCTGTGTTCATTGGTTATACTTATATGTATGCATACAAGTCCTTTGGTTGATCTCTTACCCGCTCCCTACCCTCAGCAATCTCTATATGCCCATTTCAGTCTTTCACGATTTTTCCAGACCCGAAGTTGCGAATCGCTCTGAATCTCACCTTCATCATCCATTAAATGGGGATGACAAGACCTGCCTCGGAAGTTAGCTGTGAGGTGATATCAGATGTCACAGGTAAATGTTTTGTATTTGTCCAACACTATGAATTTAGAAAATCATTCTTTACTGCCTTTCATACTCTAGAACTCAAGTTAAAAGGTTTATACCTAGAATGCGTTTAGACAGACAGTAACATTTCTTTAATATCCATTGACTTTTGACAGTTCATCTGTTAAGAAGGTGGCAAGCCATAGAAAATGGACAAAGAGCAGAAATTAGAGATTCACAGGGAAAACATACAAATGGACACTAAACACATGAAAACGTTCTCAACCTCATTCATAACTTTCAAATGTCAATAAAACAGTATGAAATGCATGTTTTACCTTTCAGATGGGCAAGTATGGAAAAGTGTTGGTGCGGGGGTGGATGAAATAGTCACTCTCACAATAAGGAAGCGATAAGCCATGTTCAGAACATGAGCTAGTAAGCAGGACGAATGATTCTGTTTCTTCAACAAAACTATCGCATAGAAAAACCGGGGGCAGCTGTTAACAGAATGAAAGACACTCAGAAGACAGAACAAGCAAATGCAATATATGAATCGTTTTGGCCCTAATTTTTAAGAAATAACTATAAAAAGTTCTTAGATACAATCAAGGAACTCTAACTATGGACTAATAGAGGGTATTGAAACTTTCTATTAATTGTGTTAATTGGTGAAATCACAGGGTCTGGTTTTTTAATGCCCCTTTTTGTTAGGCATGCATACTAAAGTCCTATGGGTGAGAGGATGTCATGTTTGGAATTTGCTTTAAAATACTCCAGCAGCTCTAGGTGGTTTGGCTCAGTGGATAGAGCGTTGGCCTGCAGACTAAAGGGTCCCAGGTTTGATTCCGGTCAAGGGCACATGCCCAGGTTGCAG